AAAATTTTCATTATTTATCGAAGTATTGATTTTTATGGAAAAAGCGCCGCAGTCGAAAATTTTTAATAAAAAATCGCGCGATTCTATCTTAGGTTGATAAAAATATGGCTGCGTTTCTTTATACATTCCGGATAATCCCATTTCACAGCCGGAATAAACAGAATGCGTTTGAAATATACGTTAACATACCATCAGGAACGTTCTAAAGAATAACTAAAAAAAGTTTATTCCAAACGTTCAGAATGAACAAAGAAATGCAAACTATGTGTTTCTTTAATAAATAAGTTAAATTATATATTTTAATAGTGTTTAAAAAGTGAGAACAGGTGATTTAGTGAATCTTTGTCGGTGTAATTGCCCATAGAAAACAACGAAATTTAACAAAAGTTTTTTGTTCATAACTTTTAAATGGTTAATAATATTAGCCCCCCCTCCCCCTCCGGATTGTTATAAGGGGGGCCGAAACGCGTCGTTTGGTACCCCTCCCGACTTTTCCGCACCTTTTTTAGGGGTTGTTACCCCACCCTAGAGAATTACCAAAGTAAAATCTGCGGAAAATTAAAAATTAAATACTTTTTTTCGTAAAATCTATAAAGCACCGTTTTATTTCTAAAAAAAACTGGGTTAATAGTTATACACGCCACGCTGTACAGCATTCAAATTTTCGGAACGGAGCAACGAATTCGTAACTACGAACATTCGGATTACAGCATAGGGGTGTAAGACAGCCGTTGGCTTTAAAACTAGATACTTACTTGCAAGTACCCACTTTTTACTGCCAAGTAAGCGCCCACCCCTAAAGCAGTGCTTAATGGCAAAGAACGTTGGAAGAAGGATTCTGTATTACACTCTCTTAAAACTTTAAGCTCCTCTGAAGAAAACTGGTAGTTTGCCTGTTTGGATTAAACAAAATAAATTGTACATCAAGTTGAATATAGGCATATCAAGTTAATGTATACCAAGGGATGTTGCTGTGCTTGCTGTGTCGATTGTTCCATTGATGCAGAACAAGGAACTTATTAAATAAATACTAGATTTTATGAAACCTAGTAAAAATATGTTATCCGAAAATCTATAAATGGAAAAAAATCGATGAAAATGTCGCCAGTATCGACGTTTGTAATTTTCCCCACCATCGATGCTTTCTGTCACTATCGATTGTTTTCTCATGAACGAAAGACACAAAATCACGTAAGAACAAGAGAGTGAAAAAAGTCGATTTTTTTAGCAGGTTCTACCATGAACCAAAAATACAAGATCACGTAAGAACGCGACGTTGTATTTGTAACTGGTTTTGAGAAAAAAGTTTGCGAAAGCGGGTTCGTCAGCTGAGCGTTTGTTTACATCACAAGCACCACTATTTTACACTTTTATTCAAATAAAGAAGAGTTAATTCAATATGAGAACACATTTTAAAGCATTTTGTTGCATCATTTTACCTAAATTGTGCGTTTAAAGTGGCTGACAATAGTTTTGGCTAATTTTGGTTTTCGTTGTTTTCTTTGCTTTGTTTACTTTTCGCTCGTTTTCCAGTGAAACAAGATGGCGAAGACTGCAAACTTCCTCTGCTACCAAGAACTGATTCAAAAAGCTACCACAATGACTTCTTTTCTTTCTTTTCTGTATGCAACGAGAGTTTTGAAAAGAATTTCATATAATGGCAAACAGTTGGAACCATCCAAGAAACAGAAAGCAGGTAAAACTGATATTTCCCCAATTTGACAAGTCTGCTCAAAGTGCCAAACTCTACAACAAAGCAGGGATGTTTATGAGCACAGAAACCTACCAAAATTTTAAGCGTCCTACCATCCGGGAAATGTTTAGTTATTTGCAGGTCGTTTTTGGGGTAGGGGCGGGGGCGTGGCCCCCTAAATTACCCCATTCGAAAGGGGACAGCCCCCGCTTTACGAAAAGTTGTTGTTGTTGTAGCGGCACTACTAAGCCCCGCCATTTTCGGGTCTACGTTCAATCATTGTCGTCGAGCTCAACTAACGGGAGGCCCAGGAAACGAGCTGTTTCAATGGGTTCGGACCAGAGGGAGAGGGGTGTTAGTTGAGTCGGATTGACATGTAAAGAGGTGGTTGGTGTCGTGGGGGGACTCTCCACATGCCGGGCACTCATTGGGGATATTGGGGTCGAGTCTGGACAGGTAGCTGTTAAGGCGGCTACAGTATCCAGACCGTAATTAAGCCAGGGTAACGCGGGTCTCTCGTGGCAGTTGAAGCTCCGTCTCTTCCACAGGTGGTGATTGGGCTCGTATTACGGCATTCATAGGTGGAGAGTCGAGGTAGTTGGTAACTGACTCTCTATGAATGTCGTTTATGGCTTGTCTGTATGTCGTCGGGTCCAAAGGTTGGTCTATGTGCTGTTGGACTGCGTCCTTGTAACGAATAGATGCCCCCTGACGTGCCTGGGCGGAGGCTCCTCCTGAAGCAACAGTCTGTTAGGGTGTTCACTTCGGTGACACCCCACCAGAAATTGCTTACAGAGCATTTTGTTGTGTTCCCTGACGGGGAGCACTTGGGCCTCGCTGTGCAGGTGGTGCTCAGGCGTCATCAGAAGGCACCCAGTCGCTGTCCAGAGTGCGGCGTTCTGACAAGTCTGTAGCTTCGTCCACTGCGTCCAACTAGTCCCCGGCGTCCAAACTGGCGCAGCATAGTTAAGAACCGGCCGGCCAATTGCCTTGTGTGTTGCCAGCAACGTTTCTTTGTCTTTGCCCCAAGTGCTGCCGGCGAGCGACTTGAGGACCTTGTTGCGGCTCTGTACTTTGTTAACAATTGCGGNTTATTTGTGTGTTTATGGCGTTAAGTGATGTTGTTGTGCTGTGCACTTTACGGAATCCGTGCTGGTGCTTAGCTGGGGTCAGGTGGCAAGTGAGGTATGGGAGTAGTAGGGCCTCAAGCGTCTTCGCGACCGGGAAAAGGAGCGTTAGCGGGCGATAAGAGTTTCCTTTGTTGGCGGGCTTCCCCGGTTTCAGCAGTGGGACCACTCTCCCTGATTTTCACACATCAGGAATGATGAGAGTGGCCATGGACAGGTTGAGGACCTNTTGGAGGCTTTCGCCTTCCCGATGGCCCCCTTCACTTCACAGCTGGTGAAAACAAGTGGTGCACTGTTTTTTGGCAGCTTGTGCAGCCTCCTGGTCACTCGACGTTTGGCCTTGTCTACCGAATGGTGCAGTGTGAATTGCCTACTAAAGTAGGCTGCGCATTTCTTCGGGTCCGAAGAAGCGCGACCTTCGAAAGAGATTTCCACTCTGTCATCACGCTTCGTTGGGTTGGACAGGGACCTCACGGTTGACCAGAGCTTACTCACACCAGACGTGAAGTTCAAGGCCTTCAAGTGCTCCTCCCACTTTTTCCGCTTGTGCTGATTTACCAGTTGCCGAATCTCCAAATTAAGGTCCCTCAGACGGGGGTCCCCGGGGTCGACCTGGCGTAGGTGGTCACGCTCGTTTGCTAGTACAGCTGCTTCGGCCGCGAAATTTGGGCGGACTTCGGCGATGCCTCCGGACGGGATGAAGTGAGCCGCTGCGGCAGTGACTACCCTGCGGAACTGGCGTTCGCCAGTGTGTATGTTTGTGGGTGTGGGAAGGGCGGCGAAGCTGCTCTCGGTGACTTCCGCGAAGCCGTCCCAATCAGCTTTGTTAAAGTTGGTATAGGTTCGGTGGTCCGCGGGAGCAAAGTCGGTGGGCTTATTGATCGAGATGACTATGGGTAGATGGTAGTGTTAGCATCGGTCGCCATGAGATGCTATTGATCACACCAGCGCTAGCAATTGTTAGGTCTGGCGAGCTGCTGCAGCTACCCATAATCCTGGTGGGGGCGTCGTCGTTCATGGTGCAGAATGTCGAGTCGTCTATCTGCTCAGCCAAAAGGTTTCCCCTACGATCATTGGCCAGGCTTGAGTGCCATAGATCGTGGTGCGCGTTGAAGTCACCTACTACCATTCGGTTTTCACCTCTGAGTAGCGCACCTATGTCAGGGTGATATCCTGCCGGGCAGCAGGTCGCACCCCCCCCCCCTTTTCGGGGCCTCCCACAGACCCCTGGGGAACCGTTTGAAAATGGGCGAAAAACAGCATTTACCGAGGGAAATTATGCAGTTTGAAGTGGAATATAACCCAACTAACAGAATCTGTGGGGTTTTTAAATAAAAGAAGTTATCCCAAGGTGGTTATCAGGCGAAAAAAGGGGGGCTAAAACCTTTCGCAGAGAACACGTTTCTGCGTAGGCGGCTTTCGGCCGCACTTTGGGATTATAACCCTCAGGCAGTAGAATTCTCCTTTCTGTGGGGGGCTGAACACCTTTTGCGGTAATTCTGTAGGGTGGGGTAACAACCCCTAAAAAAGGTGCGGAAAAGTCGGGAGGGGTACCAAGCGACGCGTTTCGGCCCCCCAAATAACAATCCGGAGGGGGGACGCTAATATTATTAACCATTTAAAAGTTATGAACAAAAAACTTTTGTTAAATTTCGTTTTTTTTCTATGAGCAATTACACCAACAAAGATTCACAAAATAACCTGTTCTCACTTTTTAAACACTATTAAAATATATAGGCGGCATTTCTTTATTCATTCTGAACGTTTGGAATAAACGTTTTTGTTTATTTATTCTTTAGAACGTTCCTGATGATATGTTGACGTATATTTTAAACGCATTCTGTTTGTTCCGGCTGTGAAATGGGATTATCCGGAATGTATAAAGAAACGCAGCCATATTTTTATCAACCTAAGATAGATTATTTTGTTATTAAAAAGAAGTTGACAATCTTTGCGAGCAGAAACGCGAGATTCCAAAATAGCTATAGTGCTGCCACTGTATTAGTATTTCGTAATAATTCACTTTTCCTTATGAGATGTGTGTACTGTTCAATGCTTTTCGGTATCTTCTTTCGTTTAATATATATATAAATAAAGAAAATTTTTAATAAAAAATCGCGCGATTTTTTACTACAAATTTTCGCCTGCGGCGCTTCTCCATAAAAATCAATACTTCGATAAATAATGAAACTTTTTAATAAAAAATCGCGCGATTTTTTATTACAAATTTTCGCCTGCGGCGCTTTTCCATAAAAATCAATACTTCGATAAATAATGAAAATTTTGAATAAAAAATCGCGCGATTTTTTATTAAAAATTTTCGCCTGCGGCAATTTTTCCATAAAAATGAATACTTCGATAAATAATGAAAATTTTTAATCACATCGCAAATCGTAAAATAGCACATTTGACACTCCATGACGCTTACTTTTAATTAAAGCTAAAATAACTGTAAACCATAAAAGTAGCGCTGCCATGGTATAGCGAAATTTGCTATTATATTTTGGTTACAATATCTTATTTAGATGAAAGTAAAAAGAAGAAGTGTATAGTGTAAACTGAGTATAATAGCGCAAATGAAATGTGAAATAAAGTGGCAATACCAGCGATTTAAGGTTATNGGCAATACCAGCGATTTGAGGTTATAATAATTTTAGCAGGCGCAAAGTTTGTTTACTCCGTTTTATTAACGAAATATATAAAATAAAAGTGAATAAATTAATTGGTTTGCATAAAATAATAGCCAGAAACGTTTTAGTAGTGTTTTAAAAGTGGAAACTGGTGACTTAGTCATTTTTGACGTGGTAATTGCTCATCGAAAACAACGAAATTTAAAAAAAGGTTTTTGTTCATAACTTTTAAATGGTTAATAATATTACTCCCCCCACTCCGGATTGTTATTAGGGGGGCCGAAACGCGTCGTTTGGTACCCCTCCCGACTTTTCCGCACCTTTTTTAGGGGTTGTTACCCCACCCTAGAGAATTACCCTTTTGCAGAGAAGGATTTATAAGCCTCAGGCAGTAGAATTCTCCTTTCTGTGTAGCCAAAGAAGGGGGGCTGAACACCTTTTGCAGAGAACACCTTTCTGCGTAGGCGGCCTTCGGCCGCACTTAGGGATTATAACCCTTAGGCAGTAGAATTCTCCTTTCTGTGTTGCCAAAGAAGGGGGGCTGAACACCTTTTGCAGAGAACACCTTTCTGCGTAGGCGGCCTTCGGCCGCACTTAGGAGATTATAACCCTCAGGCAGTAGAATTCTCCTTTCTGTGTAGCCAAAGAAGGGGGGCTGAACACCTTTGCAAACCCTTGCGTAGGCGG